GTGTGTGTTATCTGGCTTCAGTTACAAGTGTTTGAAGCAAAAAGCAACATTTGACATCATCTTTCAAAGTTGCTTATTTCAGTGCTTCGTTTATCAGTTCTGTGAACACTTCCCACGTTCAAACAGAAGTGCTGTCACATGACCCTGGGAAACACTGAGCCCTCAGCTGCGTCACATTTCTGACTTTAGTAAAGTTCACATGAAAGTCAAGTACACTAAACAACACGAACACGTGTGGAAAATGACTGACGGCTCATTAAATGAATCAGGTTTGGATTGGAGGTCACCTGACTTTGCTTTGAAATGCTTGGCTGTCCACGCTGCAGGACAGGAGCGTGGGTTTCTGTGCCGCTTCCACGCTCGTGAGCAGCTCACAGCAGTCACGCACACGCGTCCATCACACTGGAACACGCTGAAGTCTCAGTCAGTGTAATGACGTTGTTGTCACGTGTTCTTACCTTCTCACTCCACGCCCACAGTCCGATTCCCACTAAGGCCATCCCCAGCAGCTGCAAGACACGGACCACATCTCATTAAGGTGAAGATGCACGCGAACACAATCACATGACGTCACTGACTCAGTGTTATTTAAAGGTTTCCCCCGTGACGTTTCTCTGTGTCACTCAGCAACAATAAGCAGTGTGTGTGCGTGTCCATCAGGCCCTCAGCTGTCATTAAAGCCGATTAGCTGTGGACTAAGCTGCAGCAGGAACGCTCACGTTACTCTGAGTAACGGATCGATGCCTCCCCCGTTACTGATAATAACACACGTCACCCACGCACAGCTGCTCACCCAGAACAGGATGTTGAATCCAAAGATGAAGTATTTGATGCAGCAGCTGACTTCGTGGCCTTTGTAATGATTCCCCGACATGATCGTGGGTGGAGGAGACACGGCCTGCTGCTGCTTCACGGGGTTCGTGCCGTGCGGGAGGGAACAGGTTCAGCGCTCCGTGGACGCATGTCACCGTGGGCTTCCGGTCCGCACAGAGGCCCTGGCACACGGACGGATGTGACCGGCTAACACGAAGGAAACACGGATAGCAAACAAACAACGGCCCTGATCTACGCCGGACAAGTGCAGCGCATCTCCGCCGCTCCCGACAAGTGAAGGCGGCAGGAGGCGGGGCCAGAGCGACGGACAGTCGGAGGTGATTGGTTAGAACGACACAAAGGCAGGACAGTCTACCAATAGGATCCAAGGAACACCGATGTACTTCCGTGTCGTTATTCCAGCGATCGTTCCAGATCAAACACTAGTTTGGAAAATTCTCCTGAATGTGTTTAATGAAGACGCGCAAACTGTCCCGGGATTACACGGAGAAGCCTTAAAGCGCGCGGACAGGAAGCGTTTCACCCACAGTCGTGTCAGACCCACGGAACCAGATCAAGACCAAAGCTTATGACATTCATGTTTGGAGAGAAACGACACACACATTTATACACAGTAGAAATCTCAATGCTGCAGCTTCTTTCTCTCCAGGAGCCCACAGCAGCTCATACGCTGCAGCAAAACTATAATCATAGTCAAATGTTTTGCTGCAGTCACTGAGTCTGTGGAAGAAACACGGGGCCTCGCTCTGTTCCGCGTGGACACGTCCAGTTAAAACAGCTGGTGAATAAATAAAAACATGTTTCTGGTTGATTTTCAGATTCATGTGAAGTTATTGGATCATCTGATGCTGGTATTGATACATGTGTTCTCTATGCCAGCACATATTGATACATTCAGTTCAATCCAACTTTATTTATATAGCACCAAATCACAACATCAGTCATCTCAAGGTGCTTCATATTGCACAGTAGACCCTACAATAATACATACAGAGAAAAACCCAACAATCATATGACCCCCTATGAACAAGCACTTTGACAACAGTGGGAAGGAAAAACTCCCTTTAAACAGGAAGAAACCTCCAGCAGAACCAGGCTCAGGGAGGGGCGGGGCCATCTGCTGTGATTGGTTGGTTGCAAAGACATGCTGTGGAAGAGAGACAGAGGTTAATAACATATGATTCAATGCAGAGAGGTCTGTTAACACATAGTGTGTGAAGAAGAAACACCCAGTGCATCATGGGAATCCCCGGCAGCCTACGTCTATTGCAGCATAACTAAGGGAGGATTCAGGGTCACCTGGTCCAGCCCTAACTATATGCTTTAGCAAAAAGGAAAGTTTGAAGCCTAATCTTGAAAGTAGAGATAGTGTCTGTCTCCCGAATCCAAACTGGAAGCTGGTTCCATAGAAGAGGGGCCTGAAAACTGAAGGCTCTCCCTCCCATTCTACTTTTAAATACTCTAGGAACAACAAGTAGGCCTGCAGAGCAAGAGCGAAGTGCTCTAATAGGGTGATATGGTACTACAAGGTCATTAAGATAAGATGGGGCCTGATTATTTAAGACCTTGTATGTGAGGAGCAGGATTTTGAATTCTGGATTTAACAGGAAGCCAATGAAGGGAGTTCTGTTTGTCGCTGTGTATTTGCCACCTCCATTAATGAAGCTTCCTCACATCAGAGCAGCCACACAGCTCCTCCTACGAGCCGGGACAATGCTGGCACATCTCTCTCTGTTCCCTATGTGTTGTTTCTGTTACGTTAAAGTGAGTTTCAAATCTCTCCAAGGATCTGTCGTCAGCCTTAAAACGTTTCATTTCCTTTTGTGTATATCAAGGAAGAATGTGTACACACATTGTTTCCTCACCAACTCATTTTCCCTTTGACTAGTTCCTTTAACATGTTGACTAGTTTTCCATCACGGTAACCACAGTCAGCAGAAACCAAGCACAGCCACAGTCCGTTCTTTATGCTGAGGGTTTATTTCAGTTCAGTTCTAAAGAGAGGTTAAAGGTCAAAGCAACAGTGGATAGAAGTGATGTAATAGGCAGAAGAACATTTAGGAACAGTCGTTTCATGTGAGGCGTGAGCGGCAGAGGATCTGTGCGAGTGTAAAGACAGCTGACATGAAGAAGACAGTAACAGCTTTACACCACAGAGCTCCAGCTGCTGACGTAGCAGCTCCGCTGACACAGAACAGAGCCGCCTGCAGACGCTGCTGATGTTTACATCATCCTCTGATGCAGGCGACAGTGTCAGCTCCCTAATACTGATTCAGCACACGAGCTGTTCCCCGGGGAATAATTACATGTGCATTATTAATATTAAGCAGTCTTACAAAAACAAAATGCAAATGTTACCTAAAAATCTTTGAGCACAATTTAACCTCAGAAATGTCCAGAGCTCCCGCCTCAGTGCTGCCGTGCTCCTACGTGACTGTCTGTGACGTGTAAAGTAGCTTTAAAGCCATAGGTGGGCGGCTCCACCTGCATTAGACTGATGTTAGCGAGCGAGGGTGTGCCTGGTAGAGCACCAGTAAGGGTTCGCTCAGAGAGCCTCTGTGGAGACAGTACAGACTCTGTGTCAGGGCTTCATGGAGCACCAGACTCCCGCTCTCATCCGTGTAGCGCAGCTGGAAGCCCAGAGCCTCCACGGGCTTCGCAGTCAGCACAGCAGACACATCGAAGACGTCGTAGCCGGACGGCGGCCGCTGGTCCAGGGCCAGCTGTCTCTCCTCCAGGACGGGACGTTCGTCCAGGCGTCCTCGTGAAGCAATGACACTGTGCAGAGTGACAGACACGCTGAGCGGCTGAGGGTGGAGGGCTTTCCTGAACAGGACCAGCTCTGCCCCCATCATGAAGGGGCTCAAGCTGGTGATGTTGAACCAGATCCATCCCTGCGGGCCTGCAAAGCATCAAATACAGAGTGTTAGAAGGACTCACACAGCTCCGCCCCTGTAAAGGCTCAGAATCACTGAAGTCCGATGTATTCTTCAAAGATGATTGTAAATATGCACCAAAGGTTCATTCATTTGAAGAATTAAAAACAAAATAGAAAAATCAGCACTGCATGTCGTCTTTTTTCTCTTGGTGGTGAGAAACTTTACAGCAGCAGCGATGAGCAGATTTCAGTGGAAACATCTGAAGATCGTTCTGTCTGCATGTGAAGACATTGAAAGCAGAGAAACTAAAGGAAACACTATCAGAGGGAGCACATGACAGTGACGAGAGGGACCATACAGGAAGTCCAAACTCAAGGCCAAACATGCAACGTCAGGGTTTCTCGTGAACAATAAGACGTTTGTTGCTGCAGCAGAAAGAAGATGCAGCGGTTACTTCATGTCACACGTCAGTGATGCAAATTTAAAACACACCTTAAGTGAAATACAGCAACAGTTCAAGCTGTTCTGATAATGCAGGGATGTTGCTGTGGCTCACAAAGTGTCAGCTTAGTTTTATTTGTCCTCTAAATAGCATCAAAAACATCGAAACTCACTGCAGATGATAAAAGATCCGCTCGTCTGCTCGTTACCAGCCAAGGAGCTGATGCGCTTTATTATTGTAGTTTGTTAAAACATTTCTGTTCCTGTTCTGGTCCAGTTGGACTTCAGCTCCAGATCCAGATGTTACCTGTCTATGTGCAGCTGTGTTCAGCTGGAGCACAGCTATAAGCTAATGTTCACGCCTACACTTAAAGTGAGCAAAGCTACAAAGCTGTCCTGTAGCCACGCTGATGATGATGAGTTCACATAACTATACTGAGCAGTGGGCTGTACTGTTGTTATTAGTGGAGTGAGGAGGATGAAGAGGAGGGGGAGGATGGTACAGAACAGTTTGCTGGAAAAAGTTATTTTATGCAGGCTTTGTGTGGCCTCCAGCAGCACGCATGGATATGAACAGCATGGCTGCCACTACGCTCCTCTCCACTCATGAAACAGGGATACATGAAGCTCTGTGGTGAGTCTGCACGACTAAGGGGGAATTCAAAAAACAGCTATAGCACCAGTTTGTTGTGCTACAGGTCTGTAGAGCAGCAGTGGGATTTCCCAGTGTCTGTGCTGAATGATGCTACTTCAGCTGATTCGCTGAACTGTCTCTGTGAGATTAACAGACTGGAATAATGCGCATGTTTCTCATTTTAGCTGCTTTGGCACAAATGGTGCTTTAACCTGTTGGTAACTAAAGATTCCACCTTAAAACTGCAGGATTGGCTCTGTGATTATTCTTAAACGCTACAATACCCAACTAATTAAGCTGCTTTTGAAGGCAACATTTTAATGTTGACTTGAGGTTTGCACGTGTGAAAGGGACTGACTGCATTTCATTAATATTAATTACAAGGCACTGCAAGCATGACACTGTGATTGGCAGCAGAACCCTTACAGTTCATGTGCTGTCAGCTGGCCGTGCAGGACCTTGAAGCCCTGCACGGCCATGTTTGTGGCCACAGTCGCTCTGCAAGTGCTCCAGTGAAACATACGAGCCCTTACATGACACCATGTTCCAGTTCCTCATCCACACACGGGGAACTTGCTGTTTTCTTGCTTTACTGCAGATCACGGTCTTTGATCATATCGTTATTGTCAAAGCAACATGCAAAGGATTACTGTGTTAAAGGAAGACTTTGAAATCCTTACCGCTGACACTCCGAAACCCCTGCACCAGCGTCCCGTCTGATTTCCCCAAATCCTGCACCTCCAGCGCGTCCAGCTTCTGGTAAACCTTCCTCATGTAAGGATGTGGTTTAGCATGGTGGCTTGCTGACACTTTGTTGATATGCAGCATTTCCAGAATAGCTTTGTCGAGCTCCTGCTCATCCTCGGCGTTTCTCTGCTGATCCATCAACAACAAGCCCGTTACAGAGCACAGCAGGAGGAAACCCAGCGCCACATCCGAAACCTCCAAATGTGTTCGTCCAGCCATTCTCACTTTCATTGTTTCCACCTTTATCCGAGAGGGTCAGATATCAGCACTTCTGCTGCGCTGCTGCAGACAGTCCACCCGGCAGCGTAACAGTGTGTGCAGGAACCCCAGGAGCTGTCAGAGCTTAGTGAACCTGAGGAATGCTACTTCCCCTCGAAAATACCTTCACATGGAGTTTAATGAAGCACAGTGCTGCACTCTCTGAACAACCAACCAGTGGGCCGATGCACTGGAAACCATGGCCATGTGACTCACCACACATACTCTCCATTAATCAGTCTTGATACATTTAAGCAGAAATAAATGCAATGAAAGCATCTTTATGAATATGTGGCTGCTTTAGAAGAGAGTTTATTAGTTACAGATCAAACATCATTCTCTACTCCCCTGATGATGGTAAGAAGGCTGCATTGTAACAGAAGAGGCCTCCAGCTTGTGGGAGCACACCTGGACTGCTACATGGACCCACGTTCCCCTTCAGTGTTTACACCTCGCTGCTTATGTGGCTGAAGTGGTGGTTGTTGGCTGTCGTGGTGTCTTGTTTGACATCCCTTTACAGCATCAAGTTTGGGACAGTGCCTTTAAATTAGCACAGCCTCTCTCTGGGCTCAAACTTCAAGCAGATCCTCTGCTTCCCTGGGAAGTGCTGGAGAGGAGGATCCATCAGCTATGTGATCCTTGGAAACAAAACACCAGCTGCTTTTCCTCCTGGAGTTGTGTGGCTTTGCATGTATGATGTTATACAACTGGAACATGGTGCTGCCCCCTGCAGGTAAGCAGCAGCTACTATCCAGGTCATGTATTACCCAGAGGCACTTCTTTACATTAGTGCCCTGTGAAGCCTTTAATCTGTGCTTTCGTTCAGTAATTACAAACTACTACACACTGGCTGTCAGAGTGTTTCCACTCTGGCTGCAAGAGGAGGAAGGCGTCTCTACTTGTCTCTCGGGGGCGGAGTTTGTTACCCAGAAAGGAGCCAGATTCTTTCAATGAGGCAGTTGAGAGGAGAAGGAAGGAAGTGCCAGCTGTTCAGGTAAGAACATGTTTAAGTGGTGATCTTTGTTGGAGGACCTTGTGCTGTTGTCTTGCACGTCTTCTTCATCTCCTTTTGTTCTTGTGTGTTTTTTAGCTTCATACATCTGTCTTCATGTGTGCATGCTATTGTGCTGACATTCACCTTAAATCTGAGGACTGCACTGAGCTTGAATACAGCAGGATACGTGCTCCATATAAAACTTGTTAAAACTCGTAATTATTACTAACTGTGCATTTAAGGAGGATGATGAGCTTCAGACAACAAAACATGCTCGTGCTGTGTCCTGCATGATGTTCAGCTGTGCACAGATTCATCACTCTGAGCTCCTCTTTCTTCCTTCACTTATATGCAGTCTCTTGGACATTTTGCTGTACTCTACTCAATGGCAGTGACATGTTAGCAGCCTGTGATTTCAACAGCGTTACCTTTTTCCCCTCGTGGCTTTAAAAAGCGCTGGCTGCTGAAGGTCCCGTCATTATGTCGATGAGACGATGAGACGAAGGAATGGAGCAGTTACACATCAGCGTTGTGTGCTGGGCTTGGAAAAGAAACCAGGGAGGTCCTCATCTTATTTAAGGGATTATGAAATGCTGTTTGACCTTAAGAATATTTTATGACCTTATCGGAGACGCACCACATGTCAGCTTGTTGTGTGTCCCCCACCATCATCCGTCAGGATCACCACAGCCTGTGGTTCAGGAGTGGACAGCAGACAGAACATGTCTTGCTGATGTACTGTGTAAGGACTGTAACACAAGAGCCAAAACAGGAAGAGGATCAACCCAAAGTGCTGCAGGCAGCGTAACACTTGGACCTTTCCCAGGACTCCTGCCTCCACACTGATGCACATCAGGCACAGAGACATCCAGCTCTGTGAGAGGACTCGACACACAGACATCAGCATCATGCAGCGCCATGTAGTCCTGGACAGTTATCTGACCTGCCATGCTTTGTTTGTCCGCTCCATCTCATCCACAACACTGATGCTGAGTGATGAGCTCTGGCTGTCCAAAGGTGTTGGATAAGGTCCGTGTCCAGACTCTGTCCAGGCTGGTTCTGTAGTTTCATTATAGAGACTCTGTGCATCCACACAGAGCAAACTGCTGTCATCACGCTCCATTAGCTACTGTACCCAAACACACAGTATCTGTCTGCAGGTACAGATGTGTGCTGCATATTTACAGCTGTGTACTTGACATGCAAACACATCTTGTAGCGGCTGTCGTCGTTTTGAAAAACATTTGGAGCACAGCAGCATTTTTCCACTCCAGCACCTTTGACCTGAGCTGTGTCTGAGGAGGTCTGATCGCACGACTGCAGCCAACAAATACATCTTTTAAAAATAAACAAAAGTTCTGAACAACAGCTGTTATATACTCTGCAAAGCATTGTTCAAACTAAATGAAAACTGGAAGCTCAAAGCATGTCGGTCAGTTTGTGAAGCTCATCAATAGTTATTGTGTGCACCAGATTATAAATTGTTATGAGAGGAATTCATTACATCAGTGTGGTGAACAAAACCACAGAGAGAAGATCTCTGACCGACAACCAGGAATGACAGAGGGGCGCACTGCATCTCTAATAACAATCAATTTAACTTTATTTACACAGCGCCAAGTCACAACACAGTCGCCTCGAGGTGCTTTATATTGTAAGGTAATAATACATACAGAGAAAGCCCAACAATCATGTGACCCCCTGTGAGCAAGAACTTTGGCGACAGTGGGAAGGAAAAACTCCCTTTTAACAGGAAGAAACCTCCAGCAGGCTCAGGAGGATACTTGGGTTTCACTGAAGTTTCAGAATAAAGGTCCATCATTTACTCAACTGCTCTGTGTTGTTATACATCTGATCGGCATCATTGGAAATCTATGCTGACTGTACATGGAGAGTATTTACACAGGAGGACAGAAAGCACAGCTTTGTGCTGTCACCTCATCTTTCTACCCGGTTAAAGCACACACTGTAACTTCACACGCTTTTGCAAAACAAATGTTTCATTTTTACCTGGACCAGCGCACTTTGGGGAGCTTTTTCTCTTAAATGCGTAGTACTACATCGAGAGGTTGAGGATGAACAATCAGAAAAGCTTTCTTGAGACACACTAAAGCTCTGACCAGTGGAAATCCAGTTTTCCCACACAGCTCCCACACATGCGGGACAAGCTGCAGCATGTTCCCTGCACAGAGGGTGATTATAAGGTGCTTCGTGTGTGAGGTCTGGGACAGCTGTCCTACCTGAGGAACACGCTGAAAGAATGTGGAGGGTTGAGATCAGCTTTCAGATACTGAACAGCTCTGATCTGCATCCTCAGCCTGATCGACAGTCAGACAGGACTAAGCTGTATTGATTACTGTGGAAAAGTAACGGCTCCAGAAACGAGACAGTCTGTGTAAGCTGAACTGGGCAGCATGTGAAAACACTAACAATCTAAAGCATCCTGTAGGAATTTATTTAGCAGTTGGGTTAATGAAGCCTTTCCCACTGGAGCTGTCCTAAAGAAGTTTGGCAGGAGCAGGCGTATGTGTCCCAAACATGTCTGGAGCTGTCTCGTTGCTGTTCCCTCACTTATAATTACCAAAACCACAAACAGCTTTGTGTCGCTGGTTTCAGAAAGCGCCAGTGTGTTTACTCCAGCTTCATGCTCTTTGTTTCTGGTGCCACTGATGGAGCTACAAAGGAGTGACAGAGATAACATTCATACTGAAACATGTCCAAGGTGAAAGCTTCTATTACACCTGTTTCATTTGGAGCTGCTTGTTTGGTTTGACATGTTCATTTAGACCCAATAGTGTAAGTTTATATCAGCATCATGTTTTCAATCGTTTTCATTTGTAGAGCACATAATTACTCAGTGGGTTAGTTGGTGGGTGGGTGGGGGGTCTTTCTCGCAGGATTATTCAGGATGTGTGACCAGCAGCTTGGGGGAAATGATTATTTGAACCCTTTATAAATTAGAAAGAAATGAACAATCACTCATTTGCATCTTTAGTTTTAATGGAGAGAACATCACCCACAAACCCAAAAACACGTCATATAAAAGTTCCAATGATTTGCAGGCTGTGATTGGCTCCATTACAGATACTCCTGATCTCCACCCAGCAGCTGGAGAAAGCACATCTGTCCACAGAATGATGGTGTTTTCCCCCCCAGCCTCTCCACCACCATGGACCTGACCAAAGACTGGTCAAAGGATGTCAGGGTTGTAGATCTTGTTGGAAAGGTGACAACTGTTGGTGCAGTCATTCAGAAACAGAAGAAATGTAAAAGAACCATTAATCACTCTGGTCTGGAGCTCCTGGGAACATCTGGCCTCATGAGATGTGGATGATCATCAGAAAGATCCTCACTGAAAGAGCCTGATGCTCTGGAGGCGTCTGGGACCAGAGTCCCCAGGAACAACACTGATAACACATAAAGGCAAACGTTTCCATCATCAGTGGCTGATGCCCTGTTTGGGAATCAAACTGTCTTGAAGCAACTCACTGGAGACTCTGCAAATATTTTGGTGACTAGCTAGAAATGATATGCTCACAGCATCATGAGTGTCATCATATCCTGTTCACTTTATTTCCCATTACCATCCCACCTACAGTCTGATGGTGCCACAGAGGTCAGGGGTCATACTGACACTCTTCATGTATGAAATGCTTTGAACTGAAATCTTTTCGCTTCCTTTGCAGTTCCTGACTCATCCTCCCGCCTGGCACAAGCTCAAAGCCAGGAAGCTGAATCAGCATGCAGCCAGAGTAAAGTCCAGCAGGGATCCTTTCATTGGCTGAAGAGTTGAACTGAAGCGTTTTCCTGAAGGTGATCGTGCTCTTGTTTGCTGCAGGCCTGAAGGATCCTCGAGACGTTGGCTTGTGACTGACAGCAATGGGTTCACCTGTTCGACTCCTGGCCTGGATGTGCCTTCCTCTGCTTTTGGTTGAAATAACCTGTGCATTGCATGGTTCCCTTGTAA